CAAGGTACGCTTAAGTTCCATGGCTCTAGGTAAACTAGCAGACATAAAACATGTTTGCAAACGATTCCATATACCAGCTGAATGTTTAATATCATGCACATCAGTTAATACATTCCGAGTAAGAGTAGCAAACAACCAAGATCGAATTGTTTGATCTACCCTAAGCCAATGATAATAGTCTGTATTAATGATTTGCTGATTATTAAAATTCATTGTGTACATGGGAGGTACCTGAATGGATCCATCAACGATGCCAAAAAGTCCCTGAGACGCCAAAAATGATTCAAATTGAGTGCGCCAGGTGAGATAATCTTCAACAGCTTTCAGTTTGATTGTGACAATTTGACTGACATTGGCGAGACCGTGAGATATAGACTTAGCCATTAAGGCCATAGAGGACCCACCAAAAATGTTGTCGTGGGCTGGCCGTGTGATACCCGGTGATCCAGCGAAAGACAACCCAAAGAAGGGAGTTGGGGTCGGCGGTGTGGACTGAGAAACCACCGGAGGAACTGTCTGGGGCCAATTAAATTGTTGTGGGAGGCCATTGAAGATAGGAAACGGGTGTGGAGGCATCCATAGAGAAGAAGACGGATCTGGCCGTGGAGTAGAGAAGGTCGGCGGCATCATTGAAGGCTGAAGAGCGCCGGAGTAGTACGGACTCGAGAGAACTGGAACAGAAAGAGGAGGCGAGTCCATCGAGGAGGTGGGCGGAACCAGAGACTCAGGTGGGCGGTAGTCTCCATTGTAGGTTGCGGCAAAAGCAAGTAGGGAAGGAGGCAGCCGAAAAAAACCCTAAGCTCTTGATACCATGTGAGATTTTGGGAAAAGGTACTCCAATAGAAGTCCTGGACTGAATATATATAATAAAAGAGTTTGAGACATACAAGAAAACAAATATGTCTAAATAATATGGGATAATTTGAGTTTGCACCCCACTTTATTGTCGAAATTAGACTTTGCACCCCATTTTTGAAATCCTTAGTATTTGCACCCTAACCCCATATGAAAAGACAAGAATGCCCCTCGAACAGAAATATGTTGAAGGCCAACAAAATTGTTTACTGAGGGACATTTTAGTCTTTTCATACGGGGTTGGGGTGCAAATACTATAGATTTCAAAAATGGGGTGCAAAGTCTAATTTCAACAATAAAGTGGGGTGCAAACTCAAAATATCCCAAATAATATTCTATTAAGTCTTTGAACTTAATTGTTACGAAATACGGAGTACATCTCTCTAACTTCGGCTTGCCTGAATTCATACCAAGACTTTTAATTGGGCTTGAATGGTCCTTTGGACTGGTTGGGCTCATTCTATTTTAAACAATAGCATACTTCGTAAATTGCTATAGTTTTAAAATTAATTACAAACCTTTTTATCAAAATTTGCTACCTTTATCTCGGCTTAGGTAATTTAAATATATTTTGACAAGTATTTGGGTGGATATTAATTATGATGTTATGAATTATTATTTTTAATATTTGATAATTGGGTTATTCTTTTTGAAAGTATTTGATAATTGGAGAGTTATCGTTTAAGAATTCTAAGTATTTTCTTAGAACACAAATTAGAAACTTTAAATGAGGTGTGAAAAGATAGAAGTGAGAACTTTTATCAAGAACAGAGGAAACTATAGTTTAACCATAGTACTTACAATGGTTAATATACTTTCTCCATTATGGATCTTTGATCATAGACAGACTTATTAGTGTTTAGAAATTGATTCTACTTCTTTCTCAAAAGTAGAAGTAGAATTATAATCACTTTTTTCAAAAGCCGTTATTCATGAGCTTATAAAAAATGTTTCTTTAAACAATTTGGAGTACTTAAAAATACTTCTACACCTTCACTAAAATACTCCAATATCTATTTGTGATCTCTAAAAGAGCGAAAACAGTTTTAAAAGGCAAATTCAAACGGCCCTATTTATATTATTCATACAATATGGATCTTTGACCACATAGACAATGGTAAATAATATATCAAAGTTCACAAGTTTTTACTTCAAAATTAAATCATTAGGGCGTAAGGCCGTTTAGTATCACCATCATTTATCAGTTTTATGCTTTGTAATTTGAAAGTGTACTTCAATTCCTCGATTCCATTGAATTTTGATACCATTTTTTAAATTTTTTGCTTCTATTAAAAACATGAATTAAAACAAGTAATTTGTGATTCTACTTATTTCAATCTTATTTGCCCAACTTCCAAGTTTCAATCGCGTATTTTTCTACTTTGCACCTAAATACAACATTGACAATGGGGTGTGTTTGGTAAATGGTGTTTTAGCCGAAAAATGACGATCTGATCACTCTTAGCGTTTTCAATAAGTTAAAAAGTTGTTTGGTAAATAGAGGTTCGACACCAGAGTTTTTGGACGAAAACGGTGAAATAAAAGTGCTGCCATATGAGAGTTTTGGGTTGACATTTTAAAAAATGACGTTTTCTACTAATTTTATGGCTAAACAGTTAAATTATTCCGCTAATCAAATCCGATAACTGAATCCGCTATTGATAACTCGCTAACATAACACGTTATCCGCTAACCACTAATCGTTGAATGATAAACACGCTCCGACAAATTATACCGTGGGATCGGCCCACCTTCTGCATGGTGTGCCGATCCCACTTTTACAAAGTTACGTTCCTTTCATCTTTTCCCTGGAGCTTCTTCCTTTCTTTTTCTTTTAATTCTTCTCCATTTCCATCAAATTAAGATATGAAAAATTTAATTGTAGTTTTACTTTTCTTTATCTTCAATTTAAATTATAATTGAATCTATTTTTTAATTCTTTATCAATACATAGCAAAAAGTTTAATAATCTAAATAAAATTAGTACATTACATTTCATATTCATACACTATTTTTTGTAATCTTTTTTACATTCATACAGTTTTTGTAATATATTTTTATATGCATACACTTTTCTATGATATTTTTTTATCACTTTTATATGTTTTTAGAGATTTTAAGATATTGAGTTTGTTTAATTTGATTCTAGCTTGAAGTTACATTTGATAATATACGAAGTTACATCATCTCATATTCTAGTTACAAGTTATTATGCGTGAGTTACATCTTGTTATGTGTGAGTTCCATTTTCTTATACGCGAGTTACATACTTTTATGCGCGAGTTACATGTGATTATGTGTGAGTTATATCTAATTAGTTGTGATTTTTAACTTATCTTTATCTTGAACTAATTAAATTATAACTGAATTATTTATTTTTTGAAAGAACTGAATTAATTTTTTTCTTTACCAATTTAATACAAAATTTAATTAATCCACACCAAATAAGTATATTGTATTTCATATTCACACACTATTTCTTACTTTGTATACTTTTTTTTTATATTTATTATACACTTTTTTTGTAAAATATTTTTATATTCATATACTTTTTCTATAATATATTTCTTATCTCTTTTATATGTTTTTTGTGTTTTATAGTCATTAAGGTTGTTTATTTCGATTTAAAATTGAAAAAAACATGAGAATAATGCATTTTTCGTATGTGTGAGTTATGTTTATAGACAATTTCTATAATTACATTTGATATTATCTGGAGTTACATCTTCTTATGCACGATTTACATCTTCTTGTGCGTGAGTTACATCTTTCTATACGTGAGTTACATTTGAGTTTGCCTCAACAAGTTACATTTTGCATACACTAAAGTTAGATTTGCAATTAACGCGGGTTACATTTTCTGTAATACGAATTACATCACAACATAAAGCCTACTATTGAAACAAAAGAATCATTGTTATGCAAAAAAAAATCCAAAAAAAAATGTGTTTTGGCCAAAAATATATTTTTAAAAACATTTTTATGGACTTAATATTAAAAAAAAATCACCATTTATGCTAACCCCTGCTATTGAATAAAAAATTACTTTCTTTTTGCAAAAACAAAATGAGTTTTTGGCCAAAAAAAATGAATTTTTGGCAAAAAAAAGATTAAAAAAAATTATGTCCTTATTAATATTAAAAACAAAACATATAAACTATTTAGGTAAAGTAATTGAGCAATTAGACCCCTTGTTTTTATTAAAATCAATGTTTTATTTCTTATATTTCGTATTAGACAAGTTACATTTTGACTTGCTGACTGTTACATTTCTTATTAACGTGAGTTACATTTTGTTACACGCGAATTACACCTATTCCGCTACTGAGATAATGAAAAAACAAAAAAGAAGTTACTGTTTACACGCGTGAATAGTAACACGTTTTTTTGTGTGGGAGCAGCATGCTCACTGTGGGTTGCTCCCACGGTATACCAACTGCCCTAATAGTCTTGTAATAATCTTGTTATTTTTAAAAAGTGACATTCACATGACCAAATTTTTGTAAATTAAAGGGAAATAGATGGTAAAATTATGAATGAATTGATGACTCAGCATGCGTCTTCAATTCATGGTCTGGTAAATAAACGATGTACCAAGAGCTTAAATAAACGATGTCGCAAGAGCTTAAAATATGAACTTGTTTGGAATAGAATTTTTCTAAATTAAAGGGAAATAAATGGTAAAATTATGAATGAATTGATGACTCAGCATGCGTCTTCAATTCATGGTCTGGTTTCTCTTTTTATTGATGGATTCTTTTTCGCATCCATTACCAAATTTTGAAACTTTTTGCATTTATACTTACATTTTGTCTGAGTTTATTTGAAGATCAATTATGTGTAAGATTATTTTAAAGATTATCATTGTGAGTGAGGAATTATTTAGTGAGATTATTGAAAAAGAAAATCTGGTATCAAGATTCCAATCCCGAATTATTTTAGATTACAGTCAAATTACATTTAATGTATGTCCGGAAAAAACTGATTATTTGAGTATTATTGTTGATCAAGTGTTTTAAACTTTGATATTATTTAAAATTTATTAAAAAAATGAGTAGCTCTAAGTGTGAATATAAATTAATTAGATTAAATAAATATACATACAAATAGATACAAAGACATATATAAAGGCAGGTGAATAATTAGGGGAGTGGAGTGAGATTAGAAAATGCATTCAGCGCATCAGTGGGGAGGGCCGTTAGAGATTTCCAATGCGGCGGCGGCGGGGGACTCGTCCACCGAGGAATGGGACAGGGCGTCGGCGACCCAGCACTCAACCACAAACCCCCGCCACGCCGACCTCGACGAGACGCAGCAGAGCTGGCTCCTCGGGCCGCCGGACCGCCGGAAGAAGAATAAGTACGTTGACTTGGGATGCGTCGTTTGCCACAAAAAGGCCCTCAAGTATACCCTATCCGCCGCCCTCCTCGCCTTTCTCGTCTTCGCCCTCCCCACCATCGTCGTCAGGCTGGTGCCCCACCACCACCCCCGCCCTCCGCCGCCTGATCGTTACTCCGCCGCCCTTCGCCACGCCCTCCTCTTCTTCAATGCCCAGAAATGTAAGTTTTCCGTAATTAATTAATTAACTTACCATATATCTCTACCCATTAACCAATTAATTAATTCTGGTTTGACCCACACACCCAACATGGTAAGTAACGTTATGATTTTCCATTAATTATTATTGAGAATGTAGTAAATAATTTATTACTTCTAAATTTATTACAACCAGCGGTGTGTTTGTCTTAATTAATTAATTTGCTTCTGTAATTACTCGCGCGGCCCTAAAAATGCAATAAACAAACACGTCTTTTAAAGAGTTTTGGATCGATTCTTGTCTGGGGCTACGTATTAATTAAGCATTAATAACTCGCACTTGGATTACAATTTACAATACTCTTGGGTTTTTCAAAAATATTGCAGAATTAAATGTAAAATTTGAACATAAAATGTTACCACTCAAGTTATTATTATAGGTTCCACATTCAAGAAATCACTTTTTTTTATAAACAATTTTATTTTAATCATTTATGTACTTACTTTCATACAAAAATATCCAAATGATATATAGTTGTGCAACAATTGATTCGTTTTAGAGTTTTCCCGAACAAAAATATGACTAATATAATTTTTGAAGAGAAATATGATTAGTCACTACATACAAATGGCTAAACAAGACTTGTTGTAGTGTATTTCAGAGTCACGAGTCATTGTTAGATGACGAGTTGTTGAGAATTACTACCTACGTCCCATTAGAAGGTTCCCGTCCACTATTCACATTGTCAACTTAAATCATTTTTAATCTTTTACTTTATAAATCACATTTTTATCAAATTTACATTTTCTTTATCAGGCTTTGTAGCGGTTTTAATGTAGTTTCTGAATATGTTAATTTTATTTACTAAAAATAATCAGAGTGTGAACCGTTCACGGGTATTAAAATAATAAACATTTTATTTATCGTCAGTCAAACATCGTAAACCGTTCACGCGAACCTTCTAACGGGACGGAGAGAGTACTAAATATGTCACATTTATATTTTTTTAAATAAGTCACATTTTTAAAAGGGACTAAAAATTAAATTCGTTTTAACTTGATTCTCGAAAGCATCTGTTGCAGGGGCGGACCTCCCTATGTTCAAAAGTGGTCATGTGAACGCTCAAAAAATTTAACTACCGTAAAAATACACACACACATAGATGGGTGCTAATGTAAAATTTTGAACCTTCAAAATCTGTTGGAATCGTGAAACCCCCCAGGACCATGCATGCACCAATAATAAAATAAGGTAGGTGGGCGAATTAGTACCAATTAAGGATTAATTAGCAACAAAAAGTATACCACGTAACGTAACCAGAAAATAAGGCAGAAAATATTGAAAAGGTAGTTGTTTAATTACTTGCCTTAATTGGCAATATTTGCTCTTAACCATTCACGCGGCCCCGCGCCTTGGTGCCGTTTGTTTTGGCAATTTGGAAATATTCATCAACCACGTGTCTTCTCAAGCATGCATATACCTCTCAAAAAACTTCATACTTTGACTTCACGATTTTTAAAAAAGTGGAATTGTTTTTTTTGACTCTCCTGATATGTTCCCAAAAAGTAAATAAAGTATAGTGGGAAGAGAAAGTGGATGTAAATTAGGTAATAAAGTAAGGGTATAAGGTTAACTTTATATTGAAAAGTTGACAAAAATAGAAGTGGGAAGTTTATTTTGGACCTACCCAAAAGGGAAAGTGTGAAATTGTTTTGGGACCACAGGGAGTATTGATTATATTTGAATAATGACTCAACTCAAGTTTGTATATTCACGAGATTAATCAAATTGATAGTATAATTACATGTGAATCTCATATCTAACATTAATATTTCAAATGCATCAAATTTTTATGAATCTCATATTGGATACCAAATTTCAAATTAACTAAATAAACACGGATTTAAAAAAAATGTTTCTAGTCATATTTGAACACTAGCTGTCTAGCTCATTAAAGGTTTCTCATCTTAAGTCAATGAAAATCATAAGCCGGCCGTGAATCACACGAGTTAACCCACCTCTTCACACTTGCACATTACTTGAAGCTTTAAAAACAAACAAAGATAAGCACTAATCAGCTTATTTAAGTTTATTAAGAAACTAAAATTATAAAGATTAAAAGATAAATACGTAGTATACAATACGAGGAGGTGTCAGTGTGTCACTACTGGATTTATTGACTAAAAGAATTAATGAGAATATTTCAATATAATGATATAATCTGTGAATTTTAGTGTTTTTATTATTTAAATCATAAATTGTATTTTTGTATTCTTCTGTTCAAAAACGAAACGTTTTCTCATTTATACAGCTGTATTATTTTTCAAACATGTGTTTATCGCAAATATATCAAAACTCAGATGTATATCTTAGTTTTCATATAGAGATATTTATCATGGATATTACTAAAAGATGATGTAGTTCCCATTATATGACTAGTTTTATATTTATTACCCTAATCTATGACCTCACATGATGACTTCCATTCACGTGGGTGGTTATTTTCCCAACAGTCCCCTCTCATTCAACCGTTTGGTCATACGGATGATATAAAAACACATATGATCATATTTTGGGAAAACTCACATGTCTTAGTATTATTGAGGTATTTTTCCCTATCATATACACAATATATAGAGTCATAAAACTACCATTTTATCCTTTAAATTTCTTTTTTTGGCAATATCCTTTAAATTTCTTAAAAATCACATCAAACACATTTGTATTAGTCAAAACATATCATTTTCCAAATAAAACTAACATCTTTTACTAAAGTGCAATAATCTTTTCATTATCATGTTGTCATATTTTGACATGATAATGTAATGTTTTTGCAGCGGGGAAATTGCCGAAAAACAATGGAATCCCGTGGAGAAGAGATTCGGGGCTGAGTGATGGGTCGAAATTGACAGATGTAAAGGGAGGATTAGTAGGCGGGTATTACGACGCCGGAGACAATGCGAAGTTCCATTTTCCGATGTCGTTTGCGATGACGATGCTGAGTTGGAGTGTGATTGAATACGAGCACAAGTTCCGGGCCGTCGGAGAGTATGAACACGTCCGGAGTCTCATCCGATGGGGTACTGATTACCTGCTCCGGACTTTTAACTCATCCTCCTCGCAAATTCACAAAATTTATAGCCAGGTGATTTTTTATTAATTAATTAGTGGTGTGTAAGACATTCATTCAAATTACATTTTTCTAAGAGCAACTTCAATGCTTTAATATGCACAGTGCACATGTGGTATGAGAGAGATAGACACAAAATATTGATTTTATAACATTTCTCTCTTCTTTCCACGGTCTTATATGTTTTTGGTAAGTTTTTCTCTGCAATGTCAACCACATTGTCTACATCTAGACATTGTGTTTGATATTGTGAAGAAAAACTTACCAAAATGATGTAATATCCTTCAAATAATGAGAGAGATATTCTATTTATTGTTTTTTAATCTGTTATTTTTCATGTCACGTATGCACCGTTAACGTTTTAGCATCGAAGATCTCTAAATTCAACTAGTGGTGTGTTATGGGAAAATTCTTAAAATAGAAGTATAAATGTTTTGAAATTCAAAAATACGATTGTCATGTTTTTTTCTCTAAGTAGGAACACTAACTTTGTTTGAAAAATATATTCATGTTTAAAGCCTGAAAATCAATAATTACTTCTATTTAGGGAATAAAAACATGACATTCCTATTTTAGAATTTACAAACATTTTTATGCCTATTTAGGACAAATTCTTTTGGATTTATATATTTCTTATTGTCTGAAGTGTAAGTTATGGGGAAGGGCAAAAATTGTAATGTCATGTAGGATGGTTAATGAGTCATGCTACTTTGTACTTTTTTGTACACTTTTTGTTATAGACATTGTTTAGTTGGATGTGTACACAGAAGCTTTAGAACGAGGTGCATGTGTACAAAGGTAATTAGGGGTGTGTACGACGAATGTGTGCAAAAAATGTACAATGGCATTTTCGTGTTAATATTGGCCACATGACTTGTGTCACGTAATAATGTTGTTCTATTTACATGATTGCATGTGCGTGATTAATGTTTAAATACAGCGTGCATTTCAACGTATTAGCAACAACTAAATGTAATCCAGTAGCTATTGATCGAATAATGAAAACACAATTACCTATTATATGGATTGATCAATAAATGTTAAACAATTATGGATAAGCATGAGAAGAATTAGGGGTGTATTAATTACTTACTAGGAACACATTGAGGGTAGAGATGGAATTAAAATCCTCAAATATTAGCAGGGTCTTGTGTAACTAAAGATATAGATTAGGGACAAAACATGATTGTCATGTTAATTTAGTCATATTAGGGGTAAATTTATCTAATTTTACTGGCCATGATTATATTCAATTTTGTACTGTGGCGATAGTGACCGTATACTCATAGTATCTTTAGTCACTAATTTAAGGATAGACGTATATTTGAAATTTATAATTATACAAACAGAGAATTCTCTAAATAAGTGTAAAAAATTTTTGAAATTTCAAAATAGGATTATCATGTTTTTTATTCTTTGAATAAGAGTAAATTTCTGTCAACTTGACATTACTAGGCTTCAAACATGACATTTTTTACAAACTTGGCAGATTACTCTTATCGAGAGAATAAAAAATACGACACTCCTATTTTGGAATTTCAAAACGTTTTTGCTCCTATTTAGAGCAATTTATATTATATAAATCATTTTTTTTTGAAAGGATTATACAAATCATTAAAAATTGTGAATTAAGGTTGTACACATAATAATCTGTATAAGATGAAATAAATAAAATCTAGCATCGTAAATGATCTTATCGTCGATTAAAATTTGACATTGATCGATTTCGCTTTAGGTCGGTGGGTCTCATAACGGCTCAAAATCACCTGACGATCATTACTGCTGGCAAAGGGCAGAGGACATGACGTACACGCGCCTAGTCCAAACGGCATACGAAGGGCCCGACCTCGCCGGAGAAATCGCTGCGGCGTTATCGGCGGCTTCTATCGTATTCCGTGACGATTCCGAATACTCATCGAAGCTGTCTAAAGGTGCAGAGGTCGTATTTGCCTTCGCCAGGGATAGCGGAAAGAGATCCACATACAGTCGGGGGAATCCGTACATCGAGCCCTACTACAACTCCACCGGCTACTTCGACGAGTACATCTGGGCCGCCATTTGGTTGTACTATTCGACCGGAAATAGCAGCTATCTTTCGCTGGCGACCGATTTTGAAATTGCAATGAATGCTAATGCTTTGGTGGTTGTCCCGGATTTGGGTGTTTTGAGCTGGGATAATAAGCTGCCCGGAGCTATGTTACTCCTCACCCGGTTAAGGATCCATTTGAATCCGGGTTATCCCTATGAAGAATTGTTGCAAAGTTATCACAATGTTACCACCCTTACGATGTGCTCTTACCTCAGACAGTTCAATGTCTTCAACTTCACTGCAGGTATTAAGTAGTGAATAGTTCGAAATATATATAGAGCAAGCCAACATATTCTGCTTGATAAATGGTCTCTGTTCTCAAATTTTAGATGTTGAATCATGACCATTTTAAATGCTTCACACATTTACTTGTAAATAGTTGGAAATTTCATTCGTCCAAACTATAAAGAAAATAAGGTATTATTGGAATCTGTTTGCAGGCGGACTGATTCAATTGAACCATGGGGAGGGTCAACCGCTGCAGTATGTAGTGAATGCAGCTTTCTTGGCATCTCTGTTTGCTGATTACTTGGAAGCAACGTTTATTCCTGGAATGAATTGTGGTCCACACTATATCCCCTTGGATGTTCTTCGTGATTTTGCTACTTCTCAGGTTTTTAACTTCATATCAATCTTAAAATTTAGAGCATTATCAAGATTCTTGACCTTAATTGGGTAGACACTTTAGGATGGATGAATAGGCACGACCATAAATGAGACATTTTAAAATGATCAAATCGCAGAATTGGCACTAGTACCCTATTAAGACTTGATATTTCATCCTTAAAGGTTAACTGATACGGAGGATTATTTGAAACTTAGGGCCTCATATATTGATTAAATATTTTATACATGTCGGTGTGCGGCAAGTATAAAACATGAAACCAATATGTAAGACTCCAAGTCTTGATATGGTATAAGAGTTAAAGTGTGTCTTCGATTTGATCCCATGATCTGGCATATATAGTTCACTTAGTTTTTCTTTGGGATAATTAATCACCCTCACATTACTTAAGCCCAATAGAGTTGATGGGATCATGGTATATATTGAAGTATTTGTCTAATACCCGCAATGTATGAAATATGAAATCAATACATCAGATCTTTAAGTTTTTTTATTAGTTCATTCTTTAAAGATTTGGATATGAGGACTTGTGATGTCTTACATGTGTTTGGACAATGCAGATCAATTATATCTTAGGTGACAATCCATTGAAGTTCAGCTATGTGGTGGGTTACGGGTCAAGATTTTCCAAGCATGTTCATCATCGGGGCGCATCAATACCAAACAATGAGATCAAATACTCATGTACTCAAGGATGGAAATGGCGAGACACAAGAGAACCAAACCCAAATAACATCATTGGTGCCATGGTTGGTGGACCAAATCGATTTGATCAGTTTCAAGATTTACGCACAAGTTACAAGTATACAGAGCCCACTCTGGTAGGCAACGCAGGGTTGGTTGCTGCTTTGGTGTCCCTTACTAATAGTGGTAATTCTGGAGTGGATAAGAACATTATTTTCTCTGGTGTTCCTCCGTTGTACCCAACTACTCCTCCACCACCTCCGCCGTGGAGACCTTGAATAGTGCGATAAGCTAGCATTAGTATGTAGTTTTGTACAAAACAGGTTAATTGAAGCTACCTCCCCAAGATTTAATTAAATTACCAAATGACTCTTGGGTTAATGAATTGAAACACTTTTTATGTTTCATAATTTTATACAATTCTCATTGAATGATGATAGCATGCAATATGGCATTAGGTATTGTTGTATTTATTAAATAAACTGTCCTCGCTTTTTTAAAAGAGAACACTTTTAATAGTTTAATAATATAATAGTTTGATGGTGTTAACGTAATGAGGATCTATCGTCTCACTTGGGCACAATTTGGATAGAACAAATACGTAGTATATGTTTATGTCTATTGGCTTGCTCCCAATAAATTAAATGAGACTATGAGTGTAGCTTATGTATTTATTTGTTGGTTTGCTATTGTCTTCATCCTCTGCTGTGATTTTTTATCATTCTATATAAGTCAAAAAATAATAAAAGATCGGAATTGTACTCCCTCCGTTCCTAAATAAACTTCGAACTTTCCTTTTTCGTTCGTTCCAATTAAAACTTCCACTTTCCCTTTTTGGTAAAGAATTTGTGGTTCACAACATTTCTTACACATTTCTCTCTCCTCTGCACAACTCTCCACCACACAATATCCATTGTCTTAAACTTTGTGCCAAACCCATTTGGAAGTTAAAATGGGAACGGAGGTAGTATATTATTTAATGACAAACTTACAAGGTGGCAAATGTTACACGTATCACAAATTTATAGATCATTTTCAATGGATGTGTTATGCAAGTGGTGGATAGTGTAGCGAGCTCAAAATAAATTAAGTAGCAAGATTTAGAGAGAAAAAGTAAATAATAAAATGGACAGAGCAATAATATAAATATATCAAGGTGTGAATGTCTTTTCACATGTGACTAAGTAAGGAATTTAAACCCTCACAGGTAGCTCAGTTGGTCGAGTGGTGGGAGATTTGGATCAATGAACCAAAGTTCGAATCCCCGCAACGATTGGATGGAAGTCACAGAACTGAAATAAGGTTGGGCCTCTGATGCACACGGGTGTATTGACCTACTATCATTCTGCTGACTGAGTCACCGTGACTAATCTCCCCACCATCCTGTCGGGTCGGGTGGGGGCTCCTGAGGTGGGAGATTCCACCTTTTTGGATCAAAAAGTAAGGAATTTAATTTCACTGTCATTGCCGAAGCAAGTCCCTCAGTCTTGTTAGAAAATAGAAGAGGTTGTTGGTTGTATGAGTAGAATAAGTGATTTTAGTGAGGTGTAATGTAGATGATGTGTTTTAGAGGAGAACTCTTGTCTCTAGAAAAGTAGTATTGTATTGATGTTTCTTGGTTTTGCTTGGTTTGCAAATGAGTACAATGAGTCCTATTTATAGGAGCTAGAGGATCATTCTAGATCCTTATTAAATGCTTTGATTCTAGAGTATTCTACATCTATGTCTAATTATTCTAGATTTTACATAAGAATTCTCTAGTAGAGAATTTTCTAGAATACTTTCTAGCTTTAACTCTCTAGATCATCTCTAGCCTTTTCTACATAGAATATTCTAGATAAATGCATCACTATTTAATACTCCTCCTTGATGCATTTGTCAGTGACTCCAAGCATTCTTCGCAGAAACTGGAATATGTCTCTTGGCAGGGCCTTCGTGAAAATATCTGCCAATTGTTCTTCTGTTGGGTAGTACTTCATCTCAATATGCCCCTTTGCTTGGACATCTCTCAAGAAGTGATACTTGATATCGATGTGCTTAGTACGATTGTGCTGAATTGGATTTTTAGCCATCGCAATAGCTGACTTGTTGTCGCAAAATATTTGAGTCGCAGAACTTTGCAATTCTCCCATGTCTTCTAATAATCTTTTTAGCCATATAGCTTGGCACGCTGCTCCGGCTGCTGCAACATACTCGGCTTCGGCTGAAGATAGTGCAACAGAATCTTGCTTCTTTGATCCCCATGAGAAAATTCCCGAACCCAGCTTAAATGCGTAACCGGAGGTGCTTTTCATGTCATCTTGAGATCCAGCCCAATCACTGTCGCTATATCCAGTTAGTCGTGAGTCAGGAGTTGTTTTGTACCAAATACCATAATTGATGGTTCCTTGTAGATACCTAAGGAGTCTCTTTGCCGCTCCATAATGAGTCTCAGTTGGACTTTCCATGAACCTCGAGAGCAAACTTGTAGCATACATGATGTCCGGCCTCGTAGCCGTTAAGTAGAGTAGACTCCCAATCAAACTTCGGTAATTGGTTGCGTCCGTCTGCTTTGACCCGTCTTCTTTCTTCAATTTTTCATTAGGAACCAGTGGAGTAACGACGGCTTTGCAGTCTTGCATTTTAAACTTCTTTAGCATGTCCTTAATATATTTTTCTTGAAATAAGAATATGCCTTCTTCTTCTTGACTTATCTCCATGCCAAGGAAGTAGTGCATTAATCCCAAGTCACTCATCTCAAAAGTGTTCATCATGTCTCTCTTAAATTCTTCAATTAATTTGGAATTATTTCCCGTGACAATTAAGTCATCAACATATAGAGAGACGATGAGAATGTCAGATTTACCTTGGGATTTGATGTATAGTGTACCCTCGTTCTTACTCCTCCTGAACCCTTGACGGGTGAAGTATCCATCAATCTTGCTATACCACGCTCGTGGAGCTTGTTTGAGCCCGTAAAGCGCTTTCTTTAGACGAAGAACTTTTCCTTCTTCTTTGATGAATCTTTCTGGTTGCTCCACATACACTTCTTCTCGTAGCTCTCCATTTAGAAAGGCTGACTTGACGTCTAGCTGATAAATTTTCCATTTCTTCTGAGCAGCAAGAGCTATGAGTGTTCTTATTGTGTCCATCCGGGCAACTGGTGCAAACGTCTCTGTGTAGTCAACTCCCGGTATTTGAGCATACCCCTTTGCAACCAGCCTTGCCTTATGCTTCTGAATTGAGCCATCGAGGTTCAGTTTTGTTTTATACACCCATTTGACTCCAATAACCTCCTTGTTATGTGGAAGATCTACCATTTCCCAAGTATCATTCTTTTCTATCATTTTGATCTCCTCCTCCATTGCTTTAATCCAAACTTTTTCTTTGGAGGCTTCGGTGTAGCTATATGGCTCCAAGGAGCAAAAGTTGCATGTTTCATAGATGTCAGTAGACTCATATAGGTCTGCTAGAGTTCTTACCCGAAGAGGTGGGGACTCTGGCGAGGAGTCGTGATTTCTTGATGTATTAGCTTCAAAAGAGGATCTTGGAGTAGACGTGGGGCTTTGTTGATCGTGATTTTCCTCTTCTGGTATTTCCTCTAGTTGGACAGTAGTTGTCTTTCTTTCAACTTTTTCTGTCTCCCAATTCCAAGAGGCTTGCTCGTCAAACTCCACATCTCGACTTGTCACCAACTTCTTTGTCTCGAGATTGTAGATTCGATATCCCTTGGATTTGGAGCTATAGCCAAGGAAGATGTCCTTCTCTGTCTTGTCTTCTAATTTGTGCCTTTTAACAGAGGGAACATGAATGTAGCATATGCTTGCGAAGACCTTCAAATGTTTGGCTGAAGGCTTTTGTCCCGACCATGCCTCAATAGGTGTTTTGTTTAAAACCGCCTTAGTTGGACACCGGTTTAGAATATAGACTAAAGAATATACTGCCTCTGCCCAGAACGTTTTAGGCATTCCTTTTTCAGCTAACATAGACCTTGCCATCTCCATGACTGTGCGGTTCTTCCTTTCGGATACCCCATTTTGTTGTGGAGTGTATGTTACTGTTAGTTGATGCTCTACACCTTCATCTTCACAGAACTTGTCAAATTCTTTTGAGTTGTATTCGGTACCTCGATCGCTTCTCAACTTCTTGATTTGATGATCACTCTGTTTCTCCACGAAGTTCTTGAATCTCTTGAATATTCTAAAGACTTCGGATTTTTCTTGGAAAAAATACACCCATGTCATCCTAGAGTAATCATCGATGAAGAGTATGAAGTACCTGTTCTTCGAAACTGAAGGCGTGCGCATTGGACCGCAGACATCGGTGTGGACAAGCTCTAGTATCTGTTTGGCTCTCCATGTCTTTTCTGTTGGAAATGGTTGCCTGTGCTTCTTCCCAACCATACATCCTTCACATACTCCTTCTTTTTCATCCAGTAGAGGCATGTCTCTCATCATCCTCTTTTGGTGTAGTAATCTCAAGGCATTGAGATTGAAGTGCCCAAATCTTCGATGCCATAGACTCGTATCACTCAGTTGAGCCACCATCGTCTTTTGTGGATATTGCCATTGAATAGGAAAATTTCTATTATTTCCCATTTTTACTTCAGCAATTTCTTGATTATTATTCTTGTCATAAATTCGGCAAGAAATTTTCTCAAAGTGCAAGGCATATCCACTTTCAATCATTTGGCCAACACTTTAGTAGATTTTGTGCAAGGCGTGGCACTAGGAGAACGTTTCTAATAAAGCGCGTACCTTTCTTTGTATCTATGACAATGGTACCTTTCCCCTTTGCCTCCACCAAATCGCCATTGCCCATCTTGACCTTTGTCTTTATAGAGGTATCTAAGTCATGGAAGATGGTCTCGTTGGATGTCATGTGATTGTTGCACCCACTATCGATGTACCACTCTTCTTCTTTTGCTTCTATGGCTGAGTGACATGCGTAGAACATGTACTCCTTCTCCTTAAAATCTTCAGAATAGTTGGCCTGATAGTTTCTTCTATCTCTGCAATCTTTTTCTTCATGCCCGAACCTCTTGCAATTTCTGCATTGTGGCTTTCCTCGATGGTAGCAATCTTTCTCTAAGTGATTAGTCTTCTTGCATATTTTGCATGGTGGAAAGTTCGTCTTCCTCTCCTTATTGTTAGAATTACCATCTTTATGTGGTTTAAAGTTTTCACCATTTCTCAAGTGATTCCTTTTAATGTTGAGCTTAGACTGGAAGGCACTTTCTAATGAACTTTCGTGTCGTCTGTTTAGCCTTTGCTCACGTGCTTCTAGCGACCCCATTAATTCAGTGATGGACATTTTTGATAGATCTTTTGACTCCTCAATAGCCGAAACTACTGGATCATATTTTTCAGGGAGACTGATTAGGACCTTCTGGATTATTCTCTCGTCGGTTATGTTTTCTCCAAGAGTTCTCATTTCGTTGACTATATGTATAACCCGAGAGAAATAATCTTTTGCCATTTCAGAATCTCTCATCTTTAAATGTTCGAGCTCTCTTCTTAAACTTTGTAATTTAATAGTTCTAACTTTCTCATTTCCTTGAAATTCCTCCT